TATATAACCTTAATCTATCAACATTGGTTGGTGTAGATAATTTAAATACTACGATATTAAAAATACCCTACCGCTTTCAAGTGAAATACAGTACAGAATATTTAATCAATCATTGCTAACCGGACAACTACCCAAAGACCGGAAGGTTGCCAGGGTTATTCCGGTATTCAAAGCTGGAAAGAAAAATCAACCAGACAACTACCGCCCCATTTCTCTAACTTGCATTTACTGTAAAATGCTAGAGCACATAATTGCATCGCACATCTACCGCCACCTGGAGACTAATAATTTCTTTTTCATAAATCAACATAGATTTCGTAAAAACATGTCCTGTGATACGCAATTGCTTGGACTTACTACTGACTTGCACTTTGACATGGACAACAATCTACTAACTGATAGCATTTTTCTTGACTTTTTCAGAGCTTTTGACTGGGTGGCTCATTCTCGATTGTTTTCCTAATTAAATTCTGTCGGACTGGACTCTGCTAGCTTATTTTGGATTAGAAATTTCTTATCATCTCGCCAACAATTCACCGTAATTAATAACTGTGTTTCTCCCCTAGCTTATGTAACATCCAGAAATCCTCAAGGTAGCGTTCCAGAATGTTTACTCTTCCTTATTTACATTATTGACCTGCCAAATAATATTTTCTCAAATATTAAATTATTTGCCGAGGACTGTATCATTTATAGCAAAATACCTTCTTCCGATGATCACCAGATCCTGCAAATTGACATTAACCTTATAATTTTGTGGTGTCAAAAATGGCTCATGGTATTGAACTCTGGAAAATGTACTCATTTATTTCAACCGCAAACAATCGAACTCTTATTTTTTCTACGTCATTAGCAACTCTGTCATATCTCGTGTTCAGTCATTCAAGTATCTAGGGATTAACTTGACTCACAATCTTTCATGGCGCCCCCACATTACCGCTCTCTGTGCTGCAGCATCACAAACGCTTGGATTCACTCGTCTCGTAACCTCCGTAAATTGCCACCTAACATTCGCAAGTTAGTATACCTTACCTTCATTCGCCCGCAGTCAGAATTTGCCTCATCTATTTGGTTCTTTTATAAAGACTACTTATTACTAACTAAGAGCTTGTTTAAAACCATGCCGCTCGTTTTATTACCGGAAATTACGAACGAAAATTCAGTATTACTAAAATAAAACTGGAACTTTCGCTGAACCCTTTTAAGGTTCGCCGGTGTGTTTCCCTTTTAAGCCTGCTTCATGGATATGTCCAAAACACCAGGCCTCATTCTCTCCCTTTGAAAACCCCACTGCGCATCATCTAGGCGGCTCTATAATAAGAGCAGTTTTGAGCACATCTTCGGCAATACAAGGGCATTTAATTGTTCTGCACTGCACACGCCATCCAGCTTTGGAACGATCTCCCTGGCAATATCACTTCGATCACAAATTGCAAAGCCTTTCACTGCCGCCTACTCGAACATTTATTGCTTACGTAGTTATTTCCCATTTATTCTCTCTAGATGTGTTATCTTATGTTTTAAATTATTTAACGTTGTATTATGTCACATTGTAGTATTGTAAACACTGCCGAAATTTTCTTTATTTTTCAACCACTGACTGTTCTTGTTAATTAAGTTCGTGTTTCGTGCACGCTCTTCCTTTGTTAAGTTTTTCTACTGGGGTGTTACTTTTGCTTTTCTGGCAGTCGTTTACGTCACAGTGCACTTTCCAGATTGTATTGTTTTGATTTCACCTTATTCTATATTTATCACATGCATTATTTTACCATGTATCACCCCCCTTACACAATGCTCCGATAAGGAGCCTGTAAGGTATTGTGAATAAATAAATAAATAAATAAATAAATAAATAAATAAATAAATTGAAGGTAAATCGACGCATGTTTGTCTGGGACGATCAAAAAAATGAGCGCCGTCCTTTTTCAATACCGGAGTGACAAGAAGGATAACAAAGTTTAAGCAACGTCAGTTGTGAACGTGCATGAGCAACATGACTTCTTCAATAGGAGAGCTTTGCTGGTGGTTCAAAAAACCAATCCGATTCATAGCTAAGAATTTTTGTCCACAATGCTCACAGCATCGTTAGGTTACATAATTAGAAAACCTGTTAATGGCACTTAGTCCCAAGTTGTATTACTGACGGAAACGTCACGCAATACACGTTCAAGTTGATATTTAGCTTGTCATTTGCCACTATGAGGATCAAGCAAGTGACGCAGGAGTTGCTATGTGTTCTTAGAGTGAGGAGCCTTATCCATTTGGGAACAGATGTCATTTCAGTTCTGACAGCTGAGTTTTATAGAATAGTTTTCAAAGTTTGCGTGCACCCGAGCCAACCAGCGGCGGATGTCTTTATTCCACGTTCGGGGCTTCAGAATGGTCTCAAGTTTGCGTTTCTGCGCCCAAAGTTTGGCCTAGTATCTGTCACAGCTAGGCACCGACTCCTCGACTTCGACGTCTGTTGTGGTGTCCGCGACGTGCTAGAGGAGAGCATCGGACCTTTCTAAGTGATTATATAGGTGCAAGGAAGAGAAAAGTACCTCCTGTAACTGTCTATTACTGGAATGACACCTCAACAGGTCGGCACAAGGGAGGGGGAGTGGGAATAAAAGTACATAGGAAGGGAAAAGCAAAAGAAGTAGAAGAAAAAAAGGACATTCGAGTCGTCTTCACGTGCGCGCATCGAAACGCTCAGAAGACAAAACCATCCAGAAAAGCCGCCAAGAAGGCTGGGAGAAGTAGATACGCCCAGTTTTGAGGGGTGTGACGAGCCGTGTTGGCGCATTTGATGTCGGGTGAGCGTGGAGCGCGCGCCGGGGCTCGTAGCCACGGCTCTGTAGAAAACCAGGTCCGTTGTACTAATGGAGGCGAGTTCGCTGGACCTCGGTGCGATGAAACAAACAAAAAAACGCAGACGTTCACGAAGTCAAAGGTGCTCAAAGAGTGCCGTGTCCATGAAGGGGAAGGAAAAAAAACAAAAAAAGGGATCACAGACTGTCACAAACGACTCCAATTTTCGGAGCATCCGCGGGCCCCACCTTCAAGGAGGGGCGCTTTTGTGTTGGGGGACGACATCCGGCGACTATAACGACCCAACGTGGCGCCGGCTTGTCTTCCCTGCACCGGTACCGGAAGGGGCACCGGCGATCTAAACAAGGAATATTACTCCCAGATGAGACGGGAGCACGTGTACGCCCCTGAGGCGGTTTGAACTGCATCGCGGGGGCAGTTGACGTACAGACAGCAACAAGTGCGGTCGTCGGTGTCGCGAGTCTCGCGTAGGCGGCGAGCACGGAGTGACCCGCGCAACGTATTGAGACGGCTGCAATTCCGGGCACCCTCGTCGTCTACCAAGCCGGCGAGACCTTCAGCGGCACCCGTCAACTCCCCTACGTGCACCAAGGGCTGGTTTGGTCCGTATGGAACTTTTTATTGTGACTTTTTTGTTAAACCGTAAACTTGTTTTAACCAGCCTTTTTTTTAAATATTTGTAGTGTGCGCTGCGTCGCACGTTTAAATTCTAAAGCGCCACCATGATCATTCTGTAATTAATTTCTAGTGTCTCTCTCCTTTGATTTCCATCTTGTTGTTATTTTATTATTGTTCCGCGTATTTGTCTTTAGTCTGTATCTTTTGTAGTGTTCTTTTAGCATATTTTGTTATATAGCTGTTCTCTCCATCGCGCATCAGTGTTATTCCTCTCTGTTATTTTTGTTAACTCCTGCCTTTGAATTGCCCCTGTTTCAATTAAATGATTGTTTATGTGTAATCAAACTCCGTGTCTGCTCTATGAGTGCGTCGGTCAGGCCCACACATCACCACACGTGCAACCCCGCACGGGTCGACCAACCCGCAAATAAATTCGAAATGTGCCACTTCGAGGCCTTTCAGGCGTCGTAGGCCGAAGCGTAAAGTGGAAGCCTGCGAGTCTGCCGCACGTCGATGTTGGATCGGCGGGGCCTCACCCGAAGTGCGTGACATTATCTGTGTGTTTCTTCGCGTTTCATGTGTGTGTCCGTGTCGTGGTGCGCGGGGTATGACATTCATCGTATAGTGACCGTGAAGGTGTGGTGTGTCGGGTGTTCTCTGCCGTGTCGTCCACGTCAGCGAAATGGTGCGCGAGGAAAAAAAAAAGAAACGCGTTGCTGGATGACCGAAACACTGAAAGCTCGCGAACATTGCGCGTTTGTGCTTTTCTTGAATATTACCCAGTAATATTCAAGAAAAGCACAAACGCGCAATGTTCGCGAGCTTTCAGTGTTTCGGTCATCCAGCAACGCGTTTCTTTTTTTTTTCCTCGCGCACCATTTCGCTGACGTGGACGACACGGCAGAGAACACCCGACACACCACACCTTCACGGTCACTATACGATGAATGTCATACCCCGCGCACCACGACACGGACACACACATGAAACGCGAAGAAACACACACTGCTAGAATTGAGGGAGCTGCATTCGAAGCACCCCTTCGGGCCATCATGACACTGATCACAAGATAATCACAACACATAATTCTTCCAATGCCAGGAGAAAACAAAAATACCGAGCAATTCTAAATCAAAGTGATACAGAAAGGTTTCAGACAAAATTAAGAAGGTACGAAGTATCCATGTATGCAAACAAAACTTAAAAATGCGGCCTTATGGCATGAATAAAACAGAAACCAAATAAAGCGAATGTCAAAGGCCGCTATACGCGACGCGATCATCTGCGTTTCATTGAACCTAAGTACACTCAGGCCTCCTCATCGCCGACTCGGCTCATGTAATCAGCCCCTACATTCTCTGAACCCTTTATGTGTTGTACTCGGAAACTGTATTGTTGGAGCTTAAGACTCCAACGAAGGACTCGCCCATTGGAACATTTCGCACCCTGAATGAACTTTAGAGGTTCATGATCCGTCTGAACAAGAAAACATCTCCCGTACAAGAAAACCTGGAACTTCTCGACTCCCCAGACAAGAGCAAGAGCTTCCTTTTCGACCGTTGAGTATGCTACCTCTCGGGGTAGCAACTTTCGACTAGCATAGGCCACGGGGTGGAGAATCTGCTCGTGTTCTTGGAGAAGCACCGCTCCGATTCCTCGTGCGCCAGTCGACAGGTGTGTTCTAACTTCTCCCGTAGGGAAATGACGTACTCGTACGTGGTCTTCAACTCTTCCGAAAGAGCCGTATTTGTCCACAACTCCCTTAGAACCGCCAGCGGCCCTCGAACAGTCCTTCCGTACAACAATTCAAATGGAGAAAATCCGAGACTTTCCTGTGGGACTTCGCGGTAAGCAAATAATAACGGAGCGAGATAACGGTCCCAGTCGTGCGGTTTCTCCTGGCACATGCGTTTTATCATCTGTTTGAGCGTCCCATTAAACCGCTCGACCAGGCCATTCGCCATTGGATGATACGGGGTTGTGTGGAGCTGTTTGAGAGATAGCAGGCGGCTGACTTCCTTCATAACTTCGGAAGTGAAGTTTGTGCCCCGGTCGCTGAGTACTTCGCGAGGCACACCTACGCGCGAAAACATTTCCACCAGCGCTTCGGCCACCCTTTCGGTTTCTACACTTGGTAGCGCAACAGCATCTGGGTATCGAGTGGCATAGTCGACCATCGTGAGAATATATTTGTTGCCCTGGGTTGACCTGGGAAAAAGCGGTCCAACTATGTCAATCGCCACCTTCTCAAAGGGAGTAGAAATGATGGGTACTTTGACCAGGGGCACTTTTCTGGTATGTCCCTTAGGCGCAGTCCGCCGACAGATGTCACAGGACGCGACGAAGCGCTTCATGTCAGCCTGCATCCCCGGCCAGAAAAATTCGGTTCGAACCTTCGAGAGCGTTTTCTTCACCCCTTGGTGTCCTCCCATGGCGCCATCATGGGCCAAGTGCATTATTGGGACACGAAATTTTTCTGGTACGACAACTTGTGAGAACTCTTCCCCGGACTTCGACACGTATCTTCTTTGGAGTAATCCCTCTTGTATGAAAAACGTGTGGCGGTCCCCGTTCTTTCTGTGTTTCTCAACATTTAGGCGATTGAATCCAGCTTGTAATGTCAAGTCTTTTTTTTGCTCCTCGACTAGTGCTTCCCGGCTAACGTCCAGGGAAGCTTCAGGTACCCGCAACTTCTTCCGAGTGGTTTCCCTACAGCTTTGTGAGCGCGTAACCGCGGGGTTGGCTTGAGGTACTTCTTGTCCCTTTTGCTCCTCCCCCGTACCGTCATCCGTCAGCAGCTCCTGCCCCTCTGCCTTGGCGTCTTGGGATGCGTCCACATTGTTCCCAACATCATATTTCTTTTGGAGGTTCCAGTGTAGATCGGGGTCATCAGCTGGTCGTACGCCCTCTACGTTACCCAGGATGAGATCGTATATGGGGTTCTCAATACATTTTGCCTTCAGTCGGCCTGAATAAAATGGGGTCTCAACGTCGACCCATGCCTCGCGCAGCATCCTCACTGAGCGGTCCAGGAGGTAGACTGGTGCGCTTGTTCCAGTAAAGTCATCGTGATTGACCAGACTAGTTTTGACAATGACCGTGTTGCAGCCGGTATCCCTGAGGACGCGAACTTCTCTGCCTCCCACCAAGCCGGTCAGCACAGGAAGCCGCTCGGTAACTTCAGTGTACTTTTCCGTGATGCCGGCACTGACGACAGGGACTCTCTCGCCGTTCTTCAACTCTAAGAATCCTTCATCAATGCAGGCGGCTGCCGATTCTTTCGTTGATGCACGGTCATTGTTTGTTTCCTTCTTCCAGCACTTCCAGGAAGGGTGGCCTGGCCTTCCGCATATCTGACACGGTTTTCTTTGATCGCCCTTGCCACCGTTGGAGAGCTTGCAATTTTCGGCGTTATGTGCGGTACTCGAGCACAAGAAACACCGTTTCTCTGTTTGCCTTTTAGCTCCATTCAGCGGCTGGTAGTCTCGACTCTGTCCCATTTGGATAGTCGGTGCTTTCGGCCTTTCTCTCGCTGCCGCCATCCTCGAGAAGTTGCGCCAGCCATGCGCCTCCGTGTATTGTTCAGCTCTTTGTACCATATCCCCTAGTGAAGTGTCTGTTTTTTCCCTCAGGAAAAGTTCCAAGGTGGTTGCGCAAGTGCTCAGAAATTGTTCCTTTAGGGCTAATTCAAAGAGCGCCTCGTAGCTGTTCCCAGTACCCGCCAGATCAACCCATCTTTCGAGAAAATTTCTCAGGCGAGTTAGAAACTGTGAGCAAGTTTCGTTGTTATTTGGTGTGGCTCTTCGGAACTTCTCGCGAAACCCCTCCTCAGTAAGACGGAAACGGATCATTAGTGCTTTTCGCAGCTTCTCGTAATCAGTACCATCTGACGCGGGCATCCGGCTGAAAACATTCAACGCCTCCCCACTGAGACAGAGGCTTAAGGCTGTAGCCCAGTCTTCGCGGGGCCACCTTTGACTTTGCGCGACGTGCTCGAACCTTCTCAGGTAGGCGTCAGGGTCGTCGCGTGCCTCATTAAATGGGGGCATCAGTTTGTGTGGGCTAATGGGGTGCATGCGCCCGGCCGCTTCTGAGCCTGTGGTTTGTCCCGACTGGGGAGTGGACTGCTGACGCAACGACAAACGCTCCCTCTCCTCCTGAATTCGGAGCCGGGATTTTTCCCTTTCCTGCTCCATTTCGAATTCCGCGAGTTGCCTGAAATATGCGCGTTCCGCATCACGCTCTTCTTTACGCTTACTGCGCTCTCTTTCCACAAAATCGTACAACTCTCTGCCCTCGAGACCAAAACCCCTGCCCTGCTCCATAAGTTTATCGAAATCAGTGTCCTCCATTGCTACGACTAGCTGCCGAACAACGGGCCAATATCAAGGCGACTGCACACTGTTGGCTCAGAGTTACGTCGGTCTCCCAGACACCACCACGTGGTCGGCCAGTCCTGTCGCGCGGACGCCAGATAATGTCACGCACTTCGGGTGAGGCCCCGCCGATCCAACATCGACGTGCGGCAGACTCGCAGGTTTCCACTTTACGCTTCGGCCTACGACGCCTGAAAGGCCTCGAAGTGGCACATTTCGAATTTATTTGCGGGTTGGTCGACCCGTGCGGGGTTGCACGTGTGGTGATGTGTGGGCCTGACCGACGCACTCATAGAGCAGACACGGAGTTTGATTACACATAAACAATCATTTAATTGAAACAGGGGCGATTCAAAGGCAGGAGTTAACAAAAATAACAGAGAGGAATAACACTGATGCGCGATGGAGAGAACAGCTATATAACAAAATATGCTAAAAGAACACTACAAAAGATACAGACTAAAGACAAATACGCGGAACAATAATAAAATAACAACAAGATGGAAATCAAAGGAGAGAGACACTAGAAATTAATTACAGAATGATCATGGTGGCGCTTTAGAATTTAAACGTGCGACGCAGCGCACACTACAAATATTTAAAAAAAAGGCTGGTTAAAACAAGTTTACGGTTTAACAAAAAAGTCACAATAAAAAGTTCCATACGGACCAAACCAGCCCTTGGTGCACGTAGGGGAGTTGACGGGTGCCGCTGAAGGTCTCGCCGGCTTGGTAGACGACGAGGGTGCCCGGAATTGCAGCCGTCTCAATACGTTGCGCGGGTCACTCCGTGCTCGCCGCCTACGCGAGACTCGCGACACCGACGACCGCACTTGTTGCTGTCTGTACGTCAACTGCCCCCGCGATGCAGTTCAAACCGCCTCAGGGGCGTACACATGCTCCCGTCTCATCTGGGAGTAATATTCCTTGTTTAGATCGCCGGTGCCCCTTCCGGTACCGGTGCAGGGAAGACAAGCCGGCGCCACGTTGGGTCGTTATAGTCGCCGGATGTCGTCCCCCAACACAAAAGCGCCCCTCCTTGAAGGTGGGGCCCGCGGATGCTCCGAAAATTGGAGTCGTTTGTGACACAGACACACAGGTCCACGAAGTGACAGGCGCTCGAAAAGCGCTGTGTCCACGAACAATGCGATGAACGCTCCAAGCATGGGCTTGTAAACACTCGCGTGCGTTCTTTCGAACAAGAGTTCCTCTACGGTGGAACTGGGGAGCCCCAGTCGAAACGCAGCGATGAGATGGTGGCGCTCATCATTATAGGCCCCGCACCGCCGCCGAATGTGATTTAAAGTCTCTGGCTGCGGGCGATGTGAGCAGGACGGGCCTCCCTTACCCGTTAACGGGGGGGAAGTGATTTTAAATGGAAAGGAAAAAGTGAGCCCCGGAATTGTCTCTCAGGGGGAGGACACCTCAACAGTAGATCATGAGGGATGGGGTAGAGAAGGGAATAAAAAGATAGGATTAAAAGGTAGAGAGATAGCGAGTGAGGAGGGAAAGGACGAGGCGGAGGTACAGGGGGCGACGGAAGTAAGGAGAAGACAGGAAAGATGGACACGGTTGCAGTGGTTGCAGGAATCCGAGGATGGGGCACCACTGGCGAGAGCTCTTGTCCGCGACAGAAGATGGCGTAAGGCTAATCCAGTCGGCCAGAGCTACCCTGTCGTCGTCTTCCTGGAGCAGTGGCAGGAGGTGGCGTAGGACTAACCCAGTCGGCCAGAGCTGCGCTGTCGTTGGAGATGGTGGTGGTGGTGATAGTGGTTCGGTAAAAAAAGTAAAAAGACGCTTATTTCTGCAGCGCTTAAGGGAGCACAGCACAGCCTCTTGTAGGGGTGAGGGGAAGGACGGATAAAAAGAATAGAAGGAAATAGGTGAAAAGATAGAGAAGATAGTGGTGGTGGTAGTGGTTAGAAGATGAGAAAAGGCACCTAATTTCTGCAACCCCGTCGGGAGTACGGCGCAGTGCCTTTAGAGGAGATAGTGAGGGCACAAACAGTCGGCACGGAATCCAGCGAGCGAGTCCTTTCCTCTCTCTCCTTGTCATTCCAGTTATTTGGAGGGGGCATGGTGGCTTGCCGGCCCCACCACGCGCGCATCCAGGTGGGAGGAGGTGGTGGCAAGAGAAACCCGTTTTCGTGCTACCTCAAAGGGGCTCACCATCGTTGTTGTGGGCGTGGCAGCTGCATGCGCCGCTTTCGCCAGCTGATCGGCGGACTCGTTGCCGTGAATTCCAATGTGGGCTGGTATCCACTGCAGCACGAGGTTGCAGCCCAGGTCCTGCACGGTCTCGAGTCTGTGGGCAATATGTCTGGCGAGGGGCGGCCCCCTGGGCCCCCTCGCAAGCAGCTGAAGCGCAGCCCTGGAGTCCGAGAGCACCGCAGCCGAAGGAACCTGCAGCTGCAGGAGTGCGTCCGCAGCGACATCGAGCACGGCGAGCTCCGCGACCGTCAAAGAGGCCTCACACACAATTCGACTCTGGATGTGTACCTCCAAGGATGGCACCACGCACGCATTAGCGGCTGAACCGACCGCCAAGACCGATCAGTCGGTAAACACTCGGAGACGCCCAGCTAGCTGATCCTCCAGGGTGGCAGTTGTTTCCTGACGAAGCGCGCTCACTGGAGTCGCGCGCTCGCTTCTCACGCCTGGAATAGACGTGCGGATTGTCACTGGGCGATGCCAGCAAGGCGGGGCCCGAAGTCGCTCACATCCGGAATGCACGGCACCAGGGCGTGGAACCGTGCGGCACACCGGCCCCTCCTCGAGTGCTGGAGATCGTGAAAGTGGAAGACGAGCTGCTGATCGTGTCGCGAGCGATGCACGCTCTCTATGTGATTGAGAGCACGCCGGTCGGCATGCAGTGACAGCGGCATGTCGGCCGCCTCTGCGAGGCGGCCGCCTCTGTCGGCCGCCGGTGCGCGAGAAGCAGGGCAGACTGGAGTACTTTCGGATGGCAGTTAGGTGCACCACATCAAACTGCGCCCAGTTGGAAGGCGAGAGAGAAGCGAGCGGGAGGCCGTATAGGATGCGCGCCGAAGCCATGCCGTTGAAGAGTCTCAGGGCGAGTGTCGGCGAGCATCTGTTGCCGCACGCCACTCGTCCCGTGTTTCTGCACTGGGTAGTCACTGCTGGTTGCCACCTCAATCTATGGTCAAGCACGACTCCGAAGTATTTCACTTGTTTCGGCCATGGAATGGAGGCACCCAGGAGCGCAAATCGAGGCGTGGAGTGCTGTGCAACACATCTGTGGAGCACACCATGTGAAAATATCAGTAAAATGCTGTGAGGTTCCAGATTTTTGGCGCTTGGTGCGAAAACAGTCCCAGTCAATCAGTCTGGCTGAACGAAAACGCTCAAGTGTGGGCTCCTGGATTACGATTTCCAAAACATATGGTCACTGCCGAAATTTTCTCGCGTATTGCACCAGGTGGCATTTACTCCAAGCCCCACGAAGGTGAGATATGGTGTGGTGTCACGCGGCACTCCTCCCCCTCTAGGTGTGGGATGTGCTGGATCAGTAAGAAGATTCAGGTATAGAGAGTGCCACTCGTCTCATAAAGAACGGCCTTTGGGGGAGTCGTAGTGGTAGCCCCATGAAGGGTGGGTAGCGTTGAAGTCCCTATAATATGCGGCTGGTGCTGGGCTAGTTGTTGAACTCGGAGAAATATGGGGCCGAATTCGACCCGGCGGTCCCGGGGTGGGCTGTAGACGTTAACCACAAAAAGACTGACCAGGTTTACGACAAGGGTGGGGCAGAATTTCTAAACTTACGTGATCAGGCAAATTAGAGCCAATATCATTGGTGATGATATTCATGTTGCGTTTCACTAAAGTTGCCACTTGAGGGTTAGCGCGCCCCGACGTGTATGTCTTGCATCCGGCTGATTGAGCGTGCTTGCCACCCTCTTGAAGCGGTATGATTTCTGGACGATCGCGGGAGACAAGAAACTGCTGGAGTACAGGACGCTTACGTGCGAAACCCCGGCACTTCCACAGCCAGATGGTGGTGTTACGCGAGCGGCCCGTTATGGTTAGGATTCGAGTTTGTGCCACCTGGGACCGAGGAAGGAGCTGGGTCTAAGACAGCGTCGCAAGACTTGCACTGAGTGTCTA